TATTTTCTTGAATTCTTCCATTTTTTTTGTCTGTATTTTCCATGAATTTGTCTATTTTTTCCTCATTTTTGTCTGCTTTTTGCTTCAACTCTTGGATAATTCTGGATATTAGAGATTTGAATTCCCTATCAGTTAGGTCTAGTGCCTTTTCTTCTACTGGGAAGTCATCTGGTGTTTTGTTTTGGATGCCTACTGGAACCATCCTGTCCTGTTTTTGTAAATGTTTTGATATTGTCTGCTGTCTTGGGGCATCTAGTGGTTATTTTCCTTGTTTATTGGTTGTAGATTTGTGTATTTCGTCCTGCTTTTTTGTCTTATTTGGTTATGTCTGAGCAGGCAGGCTGTGCGTTCTTTGTTGTTTGCTCGTCTGTGGGTACGATACTTTTCACCTCTTTCTCCAATGGGCAGGGTCAGTCACTCAGGTATGGTACAGCAGGGCAGGTCCAGCTGAAGGGGAGTTGCTGGGATGAGTTGTTTGTGGCATGTACCAGAGCTGACAGTGCGGACTGAGAATCATTGCAGGGCAGGTTCCAGTAGGCTGTGCCTGTGCTGCTTGGAAGTGTGATGTTCCATTCACGGTGTAGGTAGGTTCGAAGGAGGGGATAGATTGTGATGTGTGGAGCTAAGTTGGGTATGGGAAAGAGGAGAGACAGGAGAGAGGAACAGGGACCAAAAACATACACACAAAGAAGAGTGCTAAGGGAGCTTGCTATTGGAGTGGAGAGATGAGAGACTGAGATATGGGGAAAAACAAAAATGGAAAAAGAAAAAGGGTAGAAGGAAAAAAATGAATAAATCAAGAGACTGGAAATGAAGAACAACAAAAAGGGAATAAGAAGAGAACTAAACAAAGAAACAAATAAAAAAAGAAAGCCAAGAAAAAAGAAATGCCCCCAGGAATGTCCCTGTGCGTCTGCACAGAGTAAGGGAGTAGCTTCCAAGCCCCACGGTACTGCCTGGCTAGAAGGGGCTCCCAAGCCAAGAAAAGAAAAAGAAAACAAACAAATCAAAACAGAACAAATCAGAGCAAACAATAAAGCCCTGGGGGTCCCACCAATGTGGCGGCACGGGCTGGGAAGCAGTTTCACAGTCGAGCGGTGTTTCGCAGCCTTTCAGGAGCAAGTGAAGATGGTGCACGGAGCCAGGTATTTGAGAGAAAGGAGGGGGAGGTGGTGAGAGGTAAGGAAGAAATCTAACGAAGCAGAAAAAAGAACACCAGCAGCCAACAAAAGGCACTCAGGGAGCCCCGGCCAGTGTGGGCAGGTAGAATCCAAGCGACACCAGGGTAAGGTGGTACTTCCTGGCCAAGAGACTGTGGCTGCAGGAAGCAGAGGAGGCTAAGTCGGGATGAAGAAGGGTGGGGGGTGGGAAAGCATGTATCACTGGTTACCAGTGGTTCTGTCTCCTGCTGGAAGCTCCGTGAAAATGCTTTTTTGTACCCCCTGTTCACTGATCTCCGATAGGAGTCCAAGATTGCAGGTCTGTGCTGCGGTAGCTGATAGGGGACCTCTGCATGTGTCTCTCTTCGCTCTCTGTTCTTGGTCAGTTTCTCATTCCATTTGGTACTTGGCTGAGTTCTTTATCTCTTCATTTGATGTGTAGGGTTTCAGGATTGACGTGTGACTCTGTTTGACTTAGTTTATCTGATCTTTGCTGTGGAGGGACGGCATGGTGCTTCTGACTACAGCACCATGTTGCCCAGAAGTCTGTGACAAGTTTTAATTAGTTATTCTTGAACTTGTACATTAGAATCACCTGGGCAGTCTGTTGAAACTGTGGCTTCCTAGTTCTATCCCCAGAGATTGAGTAATTTTGTCTAGAGTGAGGTCAGGAATCTGTATGACAGGTACCTCAAGTGATTGTGATGCTGGTAGACCATGCTGAGAAACTGGAAGGTTGAGGGAGAGCTATAGATTTTCTGAAAACTTCTTTGGTGATGCTGGCTGGAAGAGTAGAGTACTTCACTAGAAAGCTGTGGAAACTTCTTAATAGATTGCTTTAAATGCTAGGAAGTGAAGAATTTGAATTGGTTAAATGTAAGCAGCCCAGCAGGTCTACATTCTTGAGCATGGGAATTATGTAACTCAGGAATGTGTTTCTTTTTTTGGTTAAATGTCACATCTATCTACTGTGGAGCCCTGGTGGTGCAGTGGTTAAGAGCTTGGCTGCTAACCAAAAGGTAAGCAGTTTGAGTCCACCAGGTGCTCCTTGGAAACCCTATGGGGCGGTTCTGCTCTGTCCTATAGGGTTGCTATGAGTCAGAACCGATGCGATGGCAATGGGTTT